CCATCAACAGGAGTTTGGAGGTCTACTGGTAGCATGAATAGCATACGATATGGGCACGCAGCATCGGTATTATCAAATGGGGCAGTGTTAGTTAGTGGTTGTCAGAGTGGTAGTGGAGCTATAAGTAGTACGGAGTTGTATGACCCATCAACAGGTGTTTGGATGTTCACGGGTAGCATGAATAATGCACGATCTTGGCACACAGCATCGGTATTATCAAATGGGATGGTGTTAGTTAGTGGTGGGAGCAATAGTGGTGTTTATTTAAACAGTGCAGAGTTGTATGATCCATCAACAAGAGTTTGGATGTCTACTGGTAGCATGAATAGCACACGAGCATTTCATACAGCATCGGTATTATCAAATGGGATGGTGTTAGTTAGTGGTGGGAGCAATGGTGTTTATTTAAATAGTGCGGAGTTGTATGATCCATCAACAGGAGTTTGGATGTCTACTGGTAGCATGAATAATGCACGATATAGGCATACAGCATCGATATTATCAAATGGGACAGTGTTAGTTAGTGGTGGTCAGAATAGTGGTGACTATTTAAATAGTACGGAGTTGTATGACCCATAATAAACAGGTTGATGATAAACGATTATTATTCTCGCATACAAGTATTATTGTCTTTACGTAATGTTTCAAGAACATAAGTATTATCCTATATTAATAACAATGAACTCGTTCTTCTCAACTATTTCTTTCATGTTGCTTATTTGTGAAGAATTGCATCAATAAAAATGAGCTTTTGTCACGCACTGAAATTTGTTGGAAAGTTTGTTGAAAAGAGAGTGCAAGGAGTTGCGAAATTGAAATTCCCTCTTCTCTGCATACTGAACATCCGGGAGACTCATTAGTCTAAACAAATATACTACAGGATACGATAGATGAGGATGTGATATTGTTGTACAGCGTCATCTAAGTTGGCCCAATTCTGACTGGTCAAGATAGTGTATTGTCTAGTGGAAACAAAGAAACAAAGGACCGTAAAAAATGTACATGGCGGACAAAGGGAAAAAGAAACT